GGCTCATTTGTTGCGTATTAGCGGAGGATAATTAGGTTTCTCGAGGCTGCCGCCTTTTGCGAAAGGCGACTTCAAGAGTCTTCCGAAAAAAAGAGAGGAGGGAAACGAATGAGGTACGCCTACCCCTAGAAATTTTCGTCGTGAGAAGGAAAATCTCGAAAATCACCGGTTGCCAGCCAAAAGTTAATCGATTCCAACGATTCTACCATTTTCCTTGTCGATACAATAAGAAAAAACAAACAAGATCGACAATTACAATTGTATTGTCTATCCTCTAATTGAACAAATACTTGTTGCTTACATTAAAAATAAAAGAAAAATAATTTTTGGATTAACATATTTAAATTGTATTTATGTTATCAAGGTAATGAGATAGAAGTTGAATTTTTATTTATTGTTACATTTAAAAAATGAAAAGAAAATAATTTTTGGATTAACATATTTAAATTGTATTATTTATGTTATCAGGGTAATGAGATAGAAGTTGAATGAATACTTGTTACATTAAACAAAAGAAAAGAAAGTAATTTTTGGATTAACATATTTAAATTATATTTATGTTATCAGGATAATGAGACAGAAGTTGAATGGATACTTGTTGTTACATTAAAAAAATGAAAAGAAAGTAATTTTTGAATGAACATATTTAAATTGTACTTGTAAGAGTAATGAGATAGAAGTTGAATGGATACTTGTTACATTAAAAATAAAAAGAAAATAATTTTTGGATTAATATATTTAAATTATATTTATGTTATCAGGGTAATGAGACAGAAGTTGAATGGATACTTATTGTTACATTAAAAAAATGAAAAAAAAGTAATTTTTGGATTAACAGATTTAAATTGTACTTATAAGAGTAATGAGATAGAAGTTGAATGGATACTTGTTACATTAAAAATAAAAAGAAAATAATTTTTGGATTAATATATTTAAATTATATTTATGTTATCAAGGTAATGAGACAGAAGTTGAATGGATACTTGTTGTTACATTAAAAAAATGAAAAGAAAATAATTTTTGGATTAACAGATTTAAATTGTATTGTTATTATGTTATTATGGATAAACGTACAATTCAAATTGTATTGTTATCAGAGTAATGAGACAAAAGAAGAGATAGCAACTTTATAATTCTTACAAATGACATTGATCTAGAATGAAGATTTTACAAATTAAACGTTAAGGATCGTTGGGATGCTTTACAAAACTTGTCAACTTTTTTCCAATCCCCTTTTTCTTCCTCTTCTTTTTCTTTTTCTTTTTCTTCCTCGACGTATTTTACGACACTTTAAATACAGGGGGGCTGAAAAGTGCGGACAAATTTGACTGGTTTACGAGTTAAGCCACTCCATCTACATTCTTTTTCCCTTTTTTCCCCAACTTTCTCCTCTTTTTTTTCTTCACAGATATTTCTCCGATTAATCCAGAATAACAGACACGAATGAAATTTGAAGAAGCTGCTGAAGAAATTGCTGATAATCTTTATATAAAATATAATATCTATATATAAAAAAAAATTTTTGCGAAACAAAAGCCTTTCCAACATCCTCTTTCATTTTGTGAAAACATAAAACAGATTTACGCCTTTTATTTGACCAATCTTATCACATTATTTTTACCGATATAAATATCAAGTTTGCTTTCCCACTTAGAATAGCGACAA